GTCCGCAAAAAACCGTATGGTTGAACATTGTTTCCGAGTGGCCTCAAGGTCGATCTGTACAGTCGATGCGGTGACGAGCACAGCTGCATGAAAATGGGTTTAGGGGAAGAAACGTGGAAGGACCAGGAAACAAACCGATCAGATTGGACAGCGTGTTCAACAGTTCTAGCAGGTACGCCGAGTTGATCAGACTCGGTATCCCGTGATTGTGGTAGCTTCGTTGAGTGCGGTCCCACAATCACGCCGCACTCCCCTGCCTGTGGAAAAGTGGTGAAGGTGGGGAAACCCTTAGAACCAGGGGGTGACACACACACACACACGACATTCACTCCCCAGACAAGAGAATTTACCTGTGTAATCCTCATCTTCCACCCATCACATTTGAACCCTCCTACTCTCTGATCCACGCTGCTGAGAGCTGAAGAGCTCGCCGTAGTTCTGCGAGTTCAAGTAGGGCTCGGTGGGTTCACTGCTGTAGAGCTGAAGACCCTTGCCTCGGTGGGTTCACTCCCCGCTCGGCGCGGAGAGCTTGGCGGAGCGGGCACAGCCCGTGTGTCAGGGAGCTGGGTCTCTTTTGGCCAAATCTGGTGATGTCTGGCGAAATTGGACGTGTTGCTCTCCGTTTTTGTTCGGTTTTGGGGGAGTCAGTCCAATCCAAGTGAATGCCCATATGGTGTCACTCAATCCTGATCCGGATGCGCTCCCGTGTCCAAGGTACGGATGCGCTCCCGCAAGACGTAGAGGGCGGGATTGGCCTTCATGATCTTGTTCATCGATCGATGCAACAAAGGCTTCACGCCTGGTGAGAGGAACTCGAAAACCCAGAAGAAATCACAGCGTTGACTCACAGGAAGAGAGAAAGGTTTTAAAAAAAGAAAGAAAAGCATAAATAACTCCGGGAAGAGAGAGTTGGAGGGCGCAGGGCAGGGGCGGATGGTCCAAGTAAAGCATGGTGCAAATGTCAAGTGCAGTTCAACAAAAGCTGCATTGCTGCATGCATATTCATAGCCATGAGGCTACGGTCTACTATCCATCTACCCAAAACGTGAAATATGTTCGCAATGTGATATAGGTGCTCAACCATTGGCTTAGTCGGGCGCAGCTTGAGTCATCTCTTGACTGCATGACTTCAATGACTGCGATGACTTCGATTAGTCTGTCTTCTCTCTCGGCCATTGATCCTTGCTTCGAAGGGGTGAATCCACATGTCTCCGCGCTCGGGCTTTTCGTGGTGCTCGAGCACCAGCGCACGCGGCCTGGGAACCAGTTCCCGAAGCCGCTGTGCAGGTTGTAGGCCAAGTCCACACCCATCAAGACTCCCGTGGGCGAAGGATAGATGGACCTCGAAGGATAAATGGGCATGGAAGGCAGCGGGTCCAAGGTCTCTATATAGGTCCATGTTTGGGGGTTGAGAGTTGAGGAAATTCGTTGAATGTTCATGAGCTCATCGGATTCAAAGTGTCCGAGATCTGTGGGATTTGAGGCTTGTGGACCATCTTCTTGGTCCGTCCAAGGTTCCAAAAGTACAACAGGATTTTGCCATGAAGTTGATTCAAGGAATAAAACTTAATCCGGCTGTTTCACACATCCGCAAAAGGAGCATGTGGCCCCTGGGACAGCCATGGGTGGACAACTTGTGCCCATACATGTTCAATAATTCGCCTACTGTTCCAACCTGTTGAAAAGGGGGCCTGTCGAGACGGCGTACATTCTTCAATCCCTCCTCAAACGCAAAGTGCTTCAGTGCTTCCATTCAAAGATGCTCAAAGGCAATCCCCCTTGGTTGTCCCTTTAGACTCCACACCGTTTGTCGATACCTCCAAAATGACATGTGCTCATCGCTTTCATACCGTTCATCCTGTTCATCCCGTTCATCACCCATCCAAACCCACGTGGATTGGGCGACCAAACAAATGCTTTATATACATCTCACCGAAAGCTGTCGCTTGGCTCGCTGTCCCAAACTGGCTGCCAACCGCTGTCCAGTCCCCGGTCCACTCATCCAAAATCGACCCGTCGCTAGGCACATGTTGTCGGTGGTGTAGTCCAAGAACTTCGCTCGGCAGTATCGCTCAATATCCTCGGGGGGCGCACCCACTCGGCGTACGGCGCGCCGACGACGCGATCGTCCGACTCATGAAACACGACATGCATCGGAAAGGATCCCGCCAAGCCATCTTCCCCATACAAACTGAGGGAGGTCCGATTCTATGTGAGAGCTTTGGAGTGCAAAGTCTTGAAATCAACGGAAGACGGCACAATCACAACTAACTATTGACCAGTTTCAACCATCCGCTTTCGATGTGCTGCATGTTCCATCTGCTTGCGGATAACTGCAACGGTATTCTTACATATCTTATCTTTTTGATGTTTGTTTGATTGCATCGCAAAACAATATTTAGAAAGTTGCTAAATATTTTGTGAAATATTGATATATATATATATATATATTATATATTCTTCACATCTCCGGTTATCAGTGGGCCTGCCATGAAATGCCATGAACTCCGGTGGCACTTCCGCACGCCGGGCAGCATGAGAGTCGTAGTCTCCCCATCTCAGCTGCACATCGATCCAGTACTTCGTGGTGGTGGTTCCATCAAAGCCGTCCTGGTCAACGGCACCGGCAAGTGAAAGCATAAGGGATCAGTCTGACTTGGAAGGCAAAGACCCAGCTAATCTTGGAGTCTGTTTGGAGGCAAAACTCCGGTTCGGTTGTAACAAAATCTCAAAAGCCAAGCAACAGACAGACCTGGGGGCAAATGCTTCTTGTCAAGCTCTTGCAATGATGCAGTGAGGCAAACAATCAAGTATCCCACACGATACTCACCAGAAGAGAATATACACACGATACTCACAAGCTGACCATTTGACTCACAAGCTGACCATCTCGTCCTTTGACTCGGTCAGCAAGGATGGCTTGGACACGGCCCACTTGTAGGAAGCGAAGAGGAGGACATCCGCACACGACGAGTTCATCTTGTAGGACTTTCCTGGCCGGTCACGCTCGGTCCGCGGAGCAGGTTTCATGTGACGTCCGCGGGAACCGGTCGGGTCAAAAGCCTCCAAAAGCGAAAAAGGTCTTAAGAATTGAAAGGGATGGCAATGTCAGAAAGTGGATCCGTTTTCTCGGAAACTTCTAGAGGCCTCAGAATGGTGAGCATGAGTCACGATTGGGTGATGGTCGCAGCGTCCCAAAGCACAAACGGTAAGGCCATATCATTTATATAATCATATATCTATATAATCAACAGCTCGCAGAGTTGTTTACTAGGACATACTAGGACTAAGGAACCCCCATTCCTTGCACTGTAGCATGTTACACAAAGCTAGGTCGATGGATATTCCCCCATTCAGGGAGGGAATGGCAGCAACTAGATCAATTATATAGGTGGTACTGGTAGAAAAGCCATGGCTACATGTCAGGCAACATGTCAAATGAGTGCAACACAATGGCTATCATTTCTGCATCTTCCAGTTACCAATCTACTAGGAACAAGTGCATCGCTACTAGGAGCAAGGGCCTTACTAGTAGTAAGAAGAAGCTATTGGAAACAATAGTTAAATTAGAAACAAGAATCTACTATCATATCTAGCTGTTGCTAGATTCTTTCCTCCCCACCGACATTTCAGCCAGGCATCGAGGGTGAATCGTTTCCTTCTGCACCATCTCAATCTCCAATGCATCCAGTTCCAGATCAAAGACCTGCACGTCCATTGCGTCAAAGATCGACCGTGCACGAGGTGCAAAGACACACGAACGTGCATGGCACGAACCTGTCAGTATAGAGGCATCGCCGACGTAAAACGACTAGAGCGACATCTAGCGCCTATGTAGATGATAACTCCTTATACGCGAGAATACAGTACAAGATGGGTTTGTTGATTTTGGCCAGGGTTCCATTTAACGTGAAGCCGGGGTTCACAAGCTGAAACGTACCAAGTACATGGTGAACACGTTGGATGGTTACCTCCACACAGGATTCTGGCCTGCTCTCAATCGGAACGAAAGACTTGAATACAAAACGTTGAAAAGCCCAGCTGAAACCAGCTTAAGCTGCAGGTGAACACTTGTAACATACGACCTCTGACGTAATCAGGTGTTTGATGGTTTTTGTAGATGCCGTTTTCTTGCACTGACCACTTGGAAACCTGCAAGCTCACCTACGCTCCTGCTTCTAACTGTTGATGCCATTGATTTTCGTTAGCCAGATTTGCCTGTCAAATGCTGTCATGAGGAGCTTGGGAAATCCTCTGGAACCTTCTGACCCTCTGGCAGTCCAACCCTGCAGTCTATCTGCAATTCACTCAAAGGACCAACCAAGATGGGATATGTTTCTTTTCGTGGATGGATTCACCTGATATGGATTCACATTTTAAAGAAGACATGCTGCAAAAAAAAATTGCTCATTGTTTGTAGAAAAAAGGAAAGCATTCCGCCTGGCACAAGTCCATGACGATACTCTCATGGATCTTCTGCCACAAGTGCGCCCTGAAGATCCTCGTCGGTCCGGCAGTGATGCTCCGTGGCCGATGCGCACGGATGCTCGGTCCAACGGAAATGCTCGGACCTGCCCTATTGAAGTAGGGCCACCCAAACTCACCCGTTCATTATCAAAATCAACTCGCAATGTTACTTTCGCCATACGCCCCATACCTGTTGGATTATATCTACTGCAATCTTCCCATGTTCATTTTCATGGTATGTCCTTCCAGGACAGGGAGACGACTCCTGTCTTGCCTAAAGAGCTTGTCTACATGCCCGCATGTCACAGCCTAGGAAGAGAAGGAATCACCCAAGTCAGCTGCTAAACTTTAAACTGCTTAACGACCCAACGCCAGTTATGCGAGGATCAATTGCTCCTTTTCCTTCGACATGCTACACCAGTTACGGAGAGCCCCCAGCCCAGGCTGGCACCGAGAGTGAATCTTCGACTATACAGGTCATGAACATAGAGGGGCCTCAAGCTGTGAAGAAAAACTGTCTGTGTGAACCAGGATTTACTCTCTCTTCAGCATCCCGACATTCTTCCCCAGCCTGTCACAACATGTCACAACCATCCCACTCCACTCAGCACCGAGGATCTGGATCAAGGAAATCTTCAGCGTGGGGATCTTTCCGTGCATGAAAATGCCCGTGAGGTCCAGTTGCACCTGGCGTTGTCCGGAAAGTTGCTTCGGTGAAGGACCGCAGCAACTCCGTCGACGACGACCGAGGGTCCCAGATCGGTGCCGCACCTCACGGATCGCTGTTTTGGTTGAGTGCCAAGAAGGGCCCGGATCGCCAGGTATCCACCGGATGTACAACGACTAGGCCCGGCTATAGGTATTGGACTGAAAGGGCGCGAAGAGTCAATCCGGGTTGTGACCGGACCGTGGCCGGCCCAGTGTTGGTTCCGGTAACGAACCAACGTGCGAACCAACGTACTCAGCGTACATTTGAAAGCTCATGGCCAGACCAAATCCTTATCGATAAGGGAAGCCTTGATGGATCAGCTCCGAATTGAGCCCTAGCTTTTCTGCTGGTGGGTGATGCATTGAAGCGTTTCTTCTGTTCTCCGGTCACACCTCTCACCAAAACTCAGCCCAACCTGGAAGCCCACGTAGACGTTGGCACGGTTGATGGTGGGCGACCACCACAGGGTGAAGCGTCGATTCGGAATCTGATTCAAACCTCGGAGCGTCGAGCTGCGGTGTGGCAGTCTTGATTGGGACAGGGGTGGGGACACCCCACACCTGACGTACATCTGCTAATACCATCTAATATCTGCTAGCACCTGTGTGGTTCATAGTATTCCTTCATTGAAGCGGAAACTCCCAACATTATCATATATGTGCAACAAGTAAATACATGTGAATATATATATATATATGCAGGTCTAGACAGGTTTGTTGGACCCGTCTTAATCCACCATCTGATCGTCTGTCCCCCTTCGGCATTCGGCTGGCACTTTTTCGCACATGTGGTTCATCTGTGTTGCACACACTCCGACGAGAAACCGTTTCCTCAATCATCCCTGGTTTGGAAACGAGAGTATCCCATTGAAATCAAATTGAGTAAGAACAACACCAATATAAAGCAGGGTGGCGACCCCAACTCGGTGCCATTCCGCCGGATGTCCAAAACGTCCCAGACCGGTCTGGGACCGTCCGTGTTCTCCCTCCGTAAAGCCAGCGCCGAGGATCCGCTGCGCTGGGCGTTGGTGAGCTTCTTGAAGCGCATGGACTCCTCGAAGCCGCTGGCCTCGGTCAAGCCATTCGCAACCAAGAAAAACACCATCCAACACCAACCAATCCTTGCGCCAACTACCCACACGATCATCAGTATATAGATTATATATACATATATATATATATATATAATGTTGACATAGGATTGAGTACCCACCCCCTATTAATCAATCCCAGCTCCCCCAGAAAACAAATATAATTGGTTCTATATTTATTTATATAGTTATTTTTGTTTTTTTTAGTATTCAATATCTTCTGGTCCATGGTGAAACTGATCTTCCAACCATCATCCATCATCAGGTCCAGGTCCTCATCTCATCATCCATCATCAGGTCATCAGCTTTATTAGGGGGATGTGATCTCCAAAACCTCCAATCTCAAACCTTCTTGACCTTGTTGACCTTGAAGAGGGGGCCCGGGTTGATTAATCCGACGTCGAGATTATATAGAAGGCTACATCCACCCCCTCTTCATTCAGCTCCATTGCTCGTGAGCTGATAACATCATAATTTAACATCAACTCTTCCTAACCTGCAGCAAACTACCCCCAGCTACCCCCTGAGCCAACGCTCCTCCACGCCATCAAAAGCCGCCGTGCGCGCGGACCAGTCCGCGCCTTCTCCCAGAAGAGACCCTCCCAGGTGGGGAAGTATGTGCCCTTGAAGAGTGTGTGCTCCAGGATACCCTCCACACCTGCCGGTGGCGGGAACCATTGGCGATGTGCGTTTTGGAAGCAGTGGAAAATCCGTTTCATCCTGCAAAGCGTTTGGCTCTGAAAGCGTGGACGTAAAGGGGAAGTTCTGAAATCATTCTCATGCTGTCATGCTGTAGAGATTAATGTGTTTGTCTGTTGATAGCAAAGTCATGAAGGCATCGACTGGGGCTGGAACTCAACTGGATTGGGGAATCTTCTAGAATTCACAATCATCCCCACTTTCCTCACTTCCTGATGAGAATCTGATTTCCAACTCTTCCATGTGCCTCCCAGTGCTTGGATCATGTCTGTCCGGTAGTTGTTGAGGTTCCACAGCTTGCCATCATGACGTTGATGAGTCCACCAGAAGGGATTCTGCCTCATGATGTTGTACCTCACAAGCGATGCGCCGAACGAGTCCGTCGAGGTCGAGGCACCAACGACTCGCCACAAACGAGCGCGAGGAAACAGCCCCGTTTTCAACGGGTGAAGTCAATCTCCCCACGAATTGGACAGACGAGTCAAAATATGTCAAAATGACCTGCGTTTCACCCTGTCCTTTTTCACTGATTCCATCTGCCACCCGCATGGGTCCGGGGGGGTGAAAACTTGACGAGGCTCCGAGCCGCTTGGTCTCAAGTGTCGAGTGGTCTGGTTGTTGCTGGGATTCCCCAGCAATACAAACACGACCCAGGGTTCCACCTCTTCGAACAATCCGAGGATGTGAACAGACCCAGCAGGTTCTGGCATGTGGCACCTTCCTTCTCTGCCCCACAACAGGTTCGCCACGTGACTGCTTGAAATCTTGCCGCACGCGCCAGCCCTTGTCGAAGGCCAGGGTGTGTCGGTCCTGGCCCATTCTTCCGGCTTCCGCCATCAAAGCCGGTGAAAGCAGGATTTCACAGAGTGGTTTTGCTGGTGCTGGCAAGCATGCCAGTGGAGTCCAAAGAAAACGATCTTCTGATGTTCAGATCAAGAAAATAGCAAAGAGATGCAAGGAGAGTCAGAAACCTGATTGGGAGAAGTTTACCGCGGGGTAAAACTCCCTCTTTACATCCACAACTCCAGTCACCCCACAAGGCATCCAAAACGCGTCCTCTCTCTCGAGGCCACTCCTCTACATCTCTCTCCTGCCCTACCCTCTCGAGCCCAAGAAGTGCACCGGTTTCTCAGCAAGAAGTGCACCGTCCTTCTGGAAGAGCGTGTTGATTCGCGGGATGCCACGATCCCAGGCATCCTGACCAGAGGTTCACTGAAATCAACGACACCAACTGGTTTACGATTTCATGCCTCCCATGGTGGTTTTCTTGGACACAAGGTTCACTGATTTGGGTCAAGTCGGACAAATCTGAAAATGATCTTCCCAAAAGATCTCCGTCCAAACCTGGAGATCCGTGTCTATATGTGTCATGGATCTCTGACCTTTCCAGCCCTCACTCATCCCATCCGGACTGCGTGGCGTCCATGGCCCCGTCCTCCAAGTCCTCCAAGGTGAGGCGTCGGTTCTGCGCCGTGGCCTCTTGCCTTTCACGTGCGCGGAAAGCACGTGGAACGTGCGCGGAGAACGGCCTTTCCTTGGGTGACTCGGCACGCCGAAAGGCTGTGCCATATGTGCCCAAGAAATGGATTCAAAACCAGGATCCTCATCCTGCCGTACTAAGCGCCAGCATTCGCCAGGCGCAGGCCCTATATATATGTATATGTGTTTTTCTCGGGGCCTTTCGCACCAAGCCCCAGACCTCTCTTGCTTTCCACATCCTTCCACCGCGGCACGCACTCCACGCGAACTCCACCGGCCTCTTCAAGGCGTACTCCGCCCACACACGCTGGGAATCGACGAACTCGGCCTCCCAAGTCTGCACCTGGAAGGTCTCACTCGGCCCCAGGGTGAGACACTGGGATTGGCGTGTACCAGGGGTGTACTGGGGACACACGTCGACCACTGGGTAGATGATAAAAGCACTGCATGGTACAGTAGTTGCAGCTATCATACGAGGTGCGCAATGGGCAGCGAAACAATCTCTCGTTTCAATTCGGGAGTCCTGCTTTTCACATATTGTATATCTATAGCTATATTTTAAAAAATAACTATCAACATCAAAAGATCGCCATGCAATCCACCTTCGCTGATTGAAGCATCAACCTAACCATGGTCATGACAGGCATGCTTCACACTCTCAACCTAGCCATGCCTTGATGATGAACCGACGTTTCTTAACCAACCAAATTTGCTCCAAAAGATCTACTCCCGCTGCACCCCTCCACGTCTCGCGGTCGAGCGTCGTAGCGGTACAGGTTGGGGATCAGCTGATCTTCCTCATGGCTCAAGCCACTGCGGTAGTGGGTGATGCCCGTCCTGACGCTGTTTTCTCGGTCCAGCGCGAGCAGTGGTTGCAGGGGAGTTTCCGGGATGTGGATGTGCTCCTCCAAGACAGACGTCCAATTTTTGCTTGACATCTTTGCACTTTGCTCTACTGCTAACTCTTCAAAAGCTGATTGCCAGACAAAATGGAGCATGACGGCTCCGGCCCCGGGTTTGGATGGCGCTGTTTCCTCTGGGGTTCCAGAGAAGGAAGGGTAAAACCCATCGTCTGCCATAAAGCCAAAAACCCACCACTTCTATTTGTAAGCCCGGGTGCTTGGCATTCCGAGCTCCGAATCGTGCTTCAGTGCCCTGACTCCCCAGCATGACCTAGTCCATTCCAGCTGCGTTGGTTGGACCAAACTTTGAGCCCAATTCCGTCCAAGCCGCTCGGTCTGCTTCGAATATCGCAAGTCAGACTGAGGGATCAGGATGTGGCCTTAGGTGGAATGGCGATGTGGATGCCATCTACAAACACCACATCCCAACAGCTACAGTAGAGGTGAACCTCTTAAGGAGCACTCCAAGCAGCCAAGTAGGACTCGGATGCAACAAATGGTTCTGGATTCACCAAAGAGCTGGGCTGGATGATTCTAGATTGGCATGAACATCTGAAGGTGACCTGGCCGTGTTTATGAAGACCGTTACTTTACACTTACTGCTTCCACAAAACCACAAATGGACGGATTGGCTCCAATTCGCATCTGGTGAAGAAGTATTTCCTTAGACAGTCTCTGATAGACAGGTCCTCAGAAACTACCAGATACCTGCAGGAATCTACTCCTTGGGTGTTTGCGATTCTTTTTCTGCTGCCCGTTTGCGTTTTGGGTTGTGTTAAGAAAGTCTCTTGGCCAGGGCATCTGTGGTTGAACATGAGGGTGATACTCTTGAGAGTCCCCAGAAACACCCCTACAGCTGGGATTCTTCGATCTTGCTCTTCTGGAATTCCCATTGGAATCCCAACAACGCCATCGTCACGTCCAGTGGCCCATACTCAGCATGCCCAATCCGCCCAACTCCTGCAGTTGCACAGATCAAACAGCAGGGCTCTGGCGCCAGAAAATGATCAGAAAATAGAAATATCTGGGACATGGAAAGAAAAGACAAGAAAACCGAAGGATCCATGTTCCGGGTTTCGATATGCTCGACTGATAGATACAGTCGTTCTTGGCAATATGGAACAACTCGCGTCTCAACAAGAACGACTGTAGGGATCCCTTGGTCTCATGTTGTCTCAAGCAGCTTGGCTGCACGGGGATGTCTTTTTGCATCTTTTTGCGACTCATTCCGGAACAACTTGATCGCTATGGCTATGGTCAACACTCAACACTTGATGCATGAGTCGCACTTGATGTGTCTTTTGAGAGGCGAGGGTCTTCACCTGTTCACTTGGCACCGTCAGAAAAAGAGTTCTTGAGCATCTGGGCTTCAAAAAAACACGATTCACAAAGCCTGCGCTTGGCGACGCACCCGTCTCCTTGGGAGTGTAGAAGACCACTGGCGGGAATCGTGAGGGCATCTTGGAATTCAGCCCGATCTTGATGCGAGTCTGCACCTGCCCAATCGACAGCACCCTCTTTTCTCCGAGCGGAAGGTCGGCACAAGTCTGTAAGCAGACCCGAAGTAAGTGGTGGTCATCCATTGACCATCCCCCCATTAGGCCCATTCGGTGCAATTCCCATCAAACTGGTGCGTATCATAACTTTATCGCACCCCTGCCAGCACGCTAACCAGGTACCACATGCCTCAGCCACCTCCCTCTCCCAGCCGCTCGACTCCCCCGGACCCGAGCCGGGCGTCCACCTCGGGCGTCGACCGAGCCCGCCTTGTTCTCGCACTTCACCAGCAAGTCCAGCAGCGCATCGGTGTGGATCACCGCCTCGCGGAAGTAGGTCATCATGCCGATGAGGTTCCTGGGACGCCGTGCCCCCGGTTGGGGCGGCTGCACCCGGTTGGGACGGTGGTTGGGGCGATCAGTTGGATGCGAGGTGAAGCTGAGTGGGAGGCGAAAGCCGGAAAAAATGCGAGACCCTGTCCCAGTGTCCAGTTCAAAACACCCAGTATATGGTTGACCTGATTGGGTGAACAAATACAAAACACACAGACACACAAAACAAAGAAAAGCATCAACAAGCAAAGCTTGATCGGCTGAAGATTAATTAAAAGTTCTGATCGTGTCTTTTCAATTTGCGACCCCCCGCCCATGTCCAAGACCATCCAGGCGTCGTGTTCCACTTGTTCGCAATCTTTGTGAAGGTCCTCGGAAAGCTTTGAGGGCTGCTACTGGTGCTGGTGATCCAACAAGAAGCTTAGCCTGCTTAACAAGCATGTTTCATGCAGAAAAAATACAGTAGCGATAGGAATGGGTTTTTGATCCACGCAATCATCTCACCCTGTCCTTTTCAAATTTGCTTGAGTATGCTTGAGTCATATAGACAAGAGCATCCACTCACAACGCACTTTCTTTGGGAATTGACTCCATGGCAAGCAATCCCGATTGCTGGATCATCGTTGTAGCAGCAATCCAAAGACTGCATGGACTTTGGCACTTCTAATAGGAAAAAGACATGGCTCCTGATACATGTTGAAGCTTGCGAACGATTCGATGAGTGGCCTGTCCACAGATCCATCCCATATACAATCACCCTGCTCACATTGATAGTTTGGACACCGCGGTCAATGCGCAGTGAGTCGCTCTGTTCCGTCTTGATGCAAAAAATCAGTCAATCACTGCAAAATGTCGCCCAATACAAATGTGTACATGTGGTGGAACATGGTGGAACATGGTGGAACACAAGCAAAAGACGCACTGGACGCCCTGACCAACCATCCTTCTGCACCGCCCAACCATCACACCGAGGCACGTGGAGCCTGATGCCATGAGGATCGTTCGACACCTGTCGGACGTTTTATGCAACATCGGTCAGCCCTTCCGGCCCTCCCCTGGATTCGGATGCAACGCAAACCCAACAAACATGCACCAGAAATGGCAACATGATGCAACATGTGTGTTTGCCATAGTCCTTAGTCCACTGGTAGACGTGTTCGATCTGGTTTGGGAAGCTCCCCAAGATTTGCACAAACTCGCCACTGGCATGGGCCCTAGAGTGGTTGCAAATAATACGGGCAGCAACTTAAAGTAGCAAGTCCCTGAACATCCCTTTGATCCCCTATGCATCCCTATGCCGTAAACAAGAGAGATGTACTAGCAGAAATTAGACATGGTGAAACTGTCGAACTGAGCACTGAGGACCATCAAGACTCAAAGGATCCAAACAACATATCACGTATGTTCACATGATATCCTAACACTTCCAAAGGCATCCTTGATCCGCTTCCAACGAATCACCGATTCCAACGAACAAAAATTGGAAACACCGATTCCATCCGATTCCTGACCCATCCATTTCCAGGGCACCGATTCTCAAATTGCTTCTGCGACTCATTGTCGACCTTCAAGAAGGCCTGCGCTGTCATTTCCTGCGGGCGCCGGATTGGGGCGGTTCGAGACTCAGAACCAGCTACGCCAGGAGCACTTGGAGCGCTGTCTTGACTCAGAATGCGCTTGACTTCGCGTCGCGCTATCGCGCTATGGCGATAGCGCTTTGGATATCATTGGATCCCGTTCGCGATAGCGCTTCTGGACGAAATTGCGGGGAATCGATCTCCACAACTTGGAACCCGAGTTGGAATCGAGGCGGGTCTGATTTGGGACTGTTGGGTACCATTGGGATCCAATTTGGGTACCTGTGCTGAACCACTGCCTCGACTTCAGTCTGAGTCAACCAACCCGAATCCCAACCCACTCTGCGGAGAAAACTCTCCTTGGTGGCATCGTTCTGCAACTTCCACACGCCCTCTCGCTGAGTGAACTCCTCCTGGAAGGTCCTAATCTTGGGCAAAATCCGCACCTCGTGGCCGGCGGCGCAGTGATCCGGCACCGGCGGGATCGATGGAGGGAAATTCACGGACCTGGGTGTTGAGCAGTTCCAAAACCATGCCAAGACGTTCAAGAAAAAGACAAAAAAAGAGCATGAATCACGACTTGAAAAGGAGAGGTCCCTTCTTTGGGTGTGCTGGCCGTGGATTCCGACTAATTTTGTTCTTCAACAGCGAGGCGAGGTGATTCGAGTTCCTCGCACCTCGAATCCGCACATGTTGAAGAGGATGTTGGGATTGTCCTGCAAGCATCCACGACTGAAGCTGGCATGGCCGAGGTGGGCCGTGGGCCGTGGACGTCTTGTTTTCGAGCTGGCTGATGGACCTTATATGACCTAATATAGATGGAACTAGAGAACTAGAATGAATGCGGCCTGGCACGAATTGCATGTGGCGCATCAGGCCTTCTCCGGTGATCTGTAGGATAACATTTAGGCCCAGCACATCCCGGTCCCACCACATAACCTTCTGAACTCTGGGTCTGGAATCTGGGGAACAATCAAAACAGGTCAGGACTCAAAACCAGGGTGCATACCCACACCACAAACGTAACCACCTGTCACCAGATCCCTAAGCAACGCACCTCATTTTGCGGGGCTAGGTCGAATCGTCACCTCCACCAAAGCAGCGAACACTCCCTCTCTCCCTCCCTCCCTTCACTCACTCCCCGTCTTCGCCAGCAAGTGCTCCTTGGAGTAGACCGAGGCGAAGGAGTTGTCCTCGAAGCGACGCCGGAGTTCGCGCGCGCCGACGGAGTTCGGCCGGCCACCCCGGCCCCGCTCGGCCTCCGTTTGAGAGCACATGGGTTCTCTGTCCTTGAGCAGGCTACGGATATGGAGTGAAGGCAAATACACTGGTTACATCTGGTTACGGCATTTGTTATCTGCCTCAACCAGCATTTGTTGAAACGCTGGAGTTTCAACCCATCCGATCGACAGAGTGGCCCACACCGATCCAAGTGGCCCACACCAGGGTGGTCACACTCCGCGGCAGGCGGTTCTGCATCTCCCAGAAGACGGCGCGTCCCAAGTTCACATCGTGTTTCATTCGTCGCATGCGGCAGTCACGAGGCCAGCACATCCTGTCATGTGTCGACACGTGACACGTGAAACAGACGACAGGAGGCAGGGTGAAAAGGAGATGTGGGTCAAAACCTCGACTGTGAAGCTCCATCCGTGCTACATGACATCTTGCAGTGTACGCTTCTAGTGTATGCTGAAGACTTGTTGCTGGGAATCAGTACACCATAAGTACTCTGTCAGAGCCGAGCTCGACAGTTCTCCATATGTAAAGACTAGTGAACCAAAGGCCACGCTGTAGCATTTGAAGCTATTTTTGGCAGTGCTTTTGGAGAGGAATGGACGGATCATCCTGTATATCACAAGATCCACAGATCCATTTACTGACAGTCACCCGACACCAGAAACCAGAGGTCAATCGGGTATGCACTCGTTGCATTGGCTCAAGTGGAAAAAGAGCGTGAGCGAGTACAGTTGCTCTTCATGGTAGCGGAGCCATGGCATTTTTACCAGATCCAGGATCTCCTGCGGTTGAAACTGGGACATCAGTTAGCGCTGAGCGTTTCCAAGGTTTGGAACAGCAAGTGTCCAGTTTAGCTACCATGGCTAGATCCTTGCAAGATGCTATCGGTTCGTTGGTACCTGCAGTAGAAGCATTGACCACACGTGTGAATACGCCACCACCTGTGTATGATGCACTTGAGTCAGGACCACCAGCACCAATGGTTCCTTCACCAGATGGTTTGCAATTGCCCATCCCACCTTCCGGAAGTCCACGAGATAGGAATGTTGACCCGTTGCAAGTTCAGGATCCATGGCAGAATTTCCGTCGTAATGTTCAAGACACGCCTTTCAATAATCCTGACCCAGCAAATGTCAATCTTCCTCCACCAGGGATGCAGCAGTCACCAACCGCACTTCGAGATGCTGTTGAAGTGTACAAAGGAAAGGAAGACTTGAATCCTTTCCGACGAAGTGAGAAATGGATGCCAGCTTATCCAGTTCCCCAACATGACAAATGGACCACACGACCAGAAGAAGTAGAGGGGTTCATTAGCTACATCCAAGAGCTAGCTTCATGGGCTGGATTAGGAGACAATGAATGGCCACGAGAGATCCTTTGGTCCCTTCGAAGTCCATCAGTGATTACCTGGAATCAGATGAATGCAGCACAGATTACCAGGTCCACTCGGTTACTTTCGATTTTGAAGCAAGTGTTTTCCGGTCATGCTAGGGCAAGCTTGATTTTGGGAAACTATGAATCGTCACAAAACCGAATGAACTGTTGTGGCTATGAGGGAGTTCGTTTGCTTTCACGAGAGTTTGGAATCAAGACCAGAACAGAATTGTTGTTCTTTCGCAATCGAATCACCAGTGGAACTTTCAAGTGTGCCACCATTCCCGAGACCGTTCGACAGATCCAGCATGAGTTGTTTAAGTTTGCACGCATTCAACAATTGGTTGATCCAAGTGTGAACAGTCAACAACTGGAAATCATGGAAGCTGACCAGATTTTGATTCTTCTTCGATCGTTGCCAGATGCTTGTCGTCAATGGCTTGTTCTCAATGTTGTGCAGGAAAGCTTTCAGGCATACTCAGATGCAGCTCTGAGGTACGAAGCACAGCAGAGAGCATGGTCAGAGTTGAACCACAAGCCCATTGCACCGTTCAAGGAGAAAGGTAAAGGCAAAGGTGACAAAGGCAAAAGCAAAGGTAAAGGTAAGAGCAAGAATAATGAGCACCAGACCGAGAAGACTGAGACCCGTTCGTGCTTTGAATGTGGAAAGACAGGCCACCTTTCCAAAGATTGCCCCCAGAGATTGCAGAAGTCGATTGATGGCAAGAGCAAAGGCAAAGGAAAAGGTAAAGATAAAGGAAAAGGCAAATCCAAAGGCAAGAAAGGTAAGCGAGCAGCAGAGTTTTCCGAATCAGATGCCTCGTATGATGCATATGAAGATGATGATGCATGGTCAGAAGCAGATGAAGGAGGTCGTCTTGCAACGTTGGTTGTAGGAACTCAGACATGTGCCAAGGCTGAACCAAAAGAGAAGAAGTCGAGCACATTGTTTGGACGATGGTTTCGTTGCATGTTCACCATCCTGTCATTGTTTTTGACATGTCTCATGATGCATTTGTGTCATCGGTATCGGTATTTCGGACAAGAGTGTTTCCATCCATTCTTTTCGTCGGCCACGGAAACTCCGATCGAAGCAGGGTATTGGCTTGTTGATTCAGGAGCTTCACGAACTGTTGTGAGTTCAGATGCATTAAGTGCATATCGCATCATTCGTGAACGATGTCTTGACAACCCACTTTCGTTCCAGACAGCGAGTGGTGATGCCATCCATGTTTCGAGAGAAGTGTTCATCGAAGTTTACTTCCGAACTCAGGTTGATTTCCAGACGGAGTATGAGAAGTGCAAGACCTTGCGCTATGAGCTTCGATGTGTCGTAGCACCAGTGCAGCATAATCTCCTTTCCGTGACGCAACTTGTGGGAAAGGGAGCTAAGTTCGAGATGAGTGGAGATGGAACATTCATCATCCTAGATGAACGAAAACAACTGATTTGCGATGTTTGGTCCGGTGTACCATGGCTTCATGCTAGTCTTAGAAATAAAGCAGTTGACATGCCTGCAGACATGGAAATAGATTCAGAAGGTTCGCAAGATACTATGCATGTTGACAAGCTGTCTAGCAGCATCGCTTCGCCGACCGATTCGATCGCTATCAAATACTTGCCTAGTGCATTGAAGCAGAAACCAAAGATGCATGCAAGTGTTCTGTTAGGTGAAGAGGAATTTTTCAAAGCTTTGGAAGAAGAATACCCTCCACATGAGGAAGACATGGAAGACCACCCCATTCCAGCAGACTTCGAAGATGAGGAATCATCCAAAGTTGAGAAGACCCCAGAGTTCCCATCCGATTTGAAGCTGTTGAAGAAACGTGAGGAAGAAGAGCTTGTTCTCCACCGACTGCGAGGACACACGCCATTCGATGCCAGATGCATGGATTGCAAGTTGTCCAGGTCTGTCATGAGACATCCTCGAAGCAAAGAAAGTCGCAGTTCATTGTTGGTACAGGCTGATTTCTTTTTCATTGGGGATTACAAATTCCTAGCTTTGTCAGAAGTGATGACTGGGCTGATTGGTTGTGCATTATGTGCCGGTGAAACAAACACGGACATTCGTGCATTTTTCAACCAGTTAGGATTGTTGGTTATGTCACCATCGGAAGCACATCTTGCGGTAGAGGTCAGAACAGATGCCGAGAAAGCAGTTGCTTCGATTTTGAAACGAGCCAACCTTCCTGTTCCCCTTCACATAAATGAAGCGGCGCCACAGAGCCACCAAACGGTAGGACATTGTGAGAGGACCGTTCGTCGTTTCAAAGAGATGATCAGTTGTTTGCAAGCAGATTTGCGGAGTCACGGATTTGTCTTGAAAGAGACCAAAGAGGCATACCGAGCAGTGACATGTTATGTAGCCCAAACACACAACCACTTTGGCATTGGCAGTGATTTCGGAAATCGTCGATCGCCAATCCAGTTGGTCATTCAAAGAGACTGCACATTGCCCACATCCACCATGTTCGGAGCAATCGTGTTTGCAAAAGTGAGTGATCACATGGAAGGACTAGTAGAAGAAGGTTCCAGATTTGTTTTGGGTGCATACATGCATATTGCATTCGGTAGCTTTGCACATGAAGTGTCAGTCAAATGCAAAGATGGAACAGTCAAGCAGTTCAAGACTGAAGTTCGTCCTTTGAACAAGATTTGTTGGGAGTGTTCGTATCGTCCTGACATTCTCGCAAAGGCGACAGATGATGATGCACCTGCCGGAGAGCTGGACGTCAAGGATTTGCAAGATCCTGTTCATCTGCACGTGCCTGTGTATGATCGGACAAAGTTGTTGCCACCTCCGATCGCTTGGTTGAGGTCAGAAGGTTTGACTAAGGATTGTAAAGCATGTGATGCTATTCGGACCAAGGGTACTAGAAAAGGACATACACATAGCAGAGGATGCTTTCGTCGATATACTGACTGGGTTAAAGCACAACAAGAGAAGTTTGAGGGAAAGCCTGAAGCGGCCAAGAAATCCAGTCGAGCTGAATTGGAAGCCAAACCAAAAGATGGTTCAGTTCCGAAGATGGTAGTTCCTCCAGATGCGAAGCCATTTCGACCATCAATACCTGTTTCCTCCCCTGATCATCCAACCAAAGGTCTTAGGTATGAGAGTAAGCGTCCGCCTGGTTCGCTTCAGCCTCCAGCAGTGGTTGTACAGCCACCTGAGACACCTTCTCTGCCTAGTGTACCACCTCCAGTGATTTTGCCAGAAGAAGATGTTCAGATGGATCGAGATGGGGAAGATGAGCCCGAGCCCAATCGCGTGATCGATGTCGAAATGGAACCAGCACCATTTCCACCACTTCGAGCTGACTCAGAATATGAACCAACTGAGCCTCCAGAGGATATGGCAGTTGACCCAGAGCCAGATGACATGGATATTGGAATGTTTCTTTGTCCACCGCCAGAGCATTCAGGTGCAAGTCATGGCATTCTGTTTCCAATCTTTGTGCCGAAAGGAAAGGACTTAGATGGAGTTCGTGCGTCGAAGTTTTCATTGTGTGGGACAGACATCTTTTTGATCGAACCGTCACAAGCAGTGCCAGAAGATGGTATGACCAATTTCACTGTTGAACAGGCCATCAGAGGTCGGGAAACAGAGTTGACAGCCATGCATGATCTAGATGTAGGCGATGTTTTGGGAGAGGAGGAAGCCCTTGCATTGTGCGCTTCTCGAGGCACTCAGGCCATTCCATGCAGATGGGTTCTAACAGAGAAAGAATCCAAAGGGGAGTTGATTTGCAGGGCACGATGTGTTGCTCAGCAGATTGCTAGGCTTGAGCCGTCGGCAATGAGGCTAGGTATTTCATCTAGCACACCTTCTCTAGAAAGCTTCAGGATCGTGTTGACCTTGATCTCTGTTTGGGATTTGGTGTGTGAATCGTTGGATATCAGTACAGCCTTTTTGCACTCCGACTTACCTCCAGGAGTCACGGCAGTGGTGCGATTACCAACAGACCTCTCCATGAGTGAAACAATGTACAAACCTGCATTTTTGGACTTGCGTAAGGCAATGAACGGCCTTCGATCAGCAGCAAAAGCTTGGTTGTTGACTTGTTCCAATGAGTTGAAGGAGATTGGTTTGATCAGTTCGCCATCTGAACCCACCATCCTGTGCGGACAGTTGAAAGAGAGTAGAGCCTTTGGAGTCATCTTGATTTACGTGGATGATTTGCTGATTGGGGCCTCTAGCAAAGAAGGAATCCAAGAAATCAAGGATACCTTGGGTTCTAAGTTAAAGGTGAAATCCACAGGAGTAATCGGTAACTCGAAGACCGAGGGAGGTTCCATTACGTTTCTTGGAAGGGTTGTTCGTAGATTGCCATTTTCGTCCAACATCCAAGTGAGAGTTCATCCATCGTATCTTGAGACGGTTTTCCAAGAGTTCGATGTGAAGCCAACCACCATTCCGCCAGATCTCCTGATCGACTTAGGCAAAATCAGTAAGAAACCTGATGAGGTTGAGAAGTTGAGTCCTGAAGGAGCACAACGTTATCGAAGGATACTGGGACGTGTTGCCTGGTGGGGCCAGTCGAGACCAGACCAAGGGAGATTCATCAGTCTCTTGGCGATTGGCCAAGGAGAACCAAACCAGCATCATGAAAATGCTTTGAGGAAATACCTTCGTTTTGTTCGTGCAATTTGTCACTCATGGCATGTGTTTCCGACTGAGTACGTCATGGCAGTGACTTGTCCAAATCAGGAAGGGCTCCTAGTTGTTTCGGATGCTTCTTGGGGTCCAAATGACATGGAAAAGCGAAAATCCACCACAGGGGGAGCCATCTATTGGCATGGATGCCTGTTGAAGGCAGTTTCACGAGTTCAGGGATGTGTGACTTTGTCATCATGCGAAGCAGAAGTCATCTCCTTGTGTACAATGGTAAAAGAAGCCATAGGGATTCGACACCTTGTTGAGTTTGTGAGCAGATTCGACAGAGTTCATGACTTGGAAGAAATGGTGAACACCAAAGCAAATTGGGAGTTCGATGTGGTTGGAAGTAGCAGTTTGGACTACCAGCCAATTCATGTGTTGAGCGATTCGGAATCGTGTTTAGCAGTCATGAAGAATGATGGATTGAGCAGAAGAGTCCGTCACTTGTCGTTGTCGGTTTGCTATGTACAGGAGTTGGTCAACAACGGTGTTGTTATCTTGAACTGGGTAGGTACAGCAGATTGTGTTGCAGATCTTTGCACCAAGATCCTTCCCAAGGAAGCGCATTTTCGGCATGCAGAGAATTTAGGGATTGTAGATGTTGACCCGCCAGAGGGTTGGCAGTTGGAGTGTTCGAAGCAAGCTTCGAAACGGAAACCTAGGGTTTCGGATCCAGTTGGATCGAGTGGTTCACGAGGTGAACGTGCCGAACATGAGGTTCAGGCGGATGTGTCCCGTGAGAGGACGGTGATGTTCGATTCGGAATCGGACGTGCCTGACGATGATCAGGTGGGCTCTGAGCTGGCTAGCAAGCTAGAGCTGGACTTCGCGAAGAAGTTGGTGCCCGTAGAGGTGTTGCCCTTAGAGGTGTTGCCCACAGAGGTGTTGCCCACAGAGGTGTTGCCCGTAGAGGTGTTGCCCATAGAGGCGGCTACACGATGCCTTCAGTCGTTCCGAAAGAGGTTGATACAGATTGCATCAGCCATCCATATGGGTCAATGCACACACGTGATAGTGGATGTTTGTACTAGTGGCAGAGCCGGTTTTACCCAGATTGAAAACAAGTTTCCTAAGTTGAGAGTTGTTTCAATCACCTTGGATACCCCTTTATCACATGTGTGTAAGATGACTTGTGATTGGATGCAGCAGATCGGGAATTTAGTGACCATCCTTGCTTGGGGATCACCACCGTGTACTGGTGGAAGTCCTATGTTGCAGCTCTGTTCGAATGGGAAGAGTCTCTATGAACGCCATTGGTCCGAGTTTGTCCCAATTCTCCATGATGTTGAATCAGTTTTCCGAGAGGGACATGTCAGGGCGTTGGAGCTTTCGAAGAGTTGTAGATACTGGAAAGAGCAAGAGATTGAGTTGTTTGTGGAACGTCAAGGTCTGAAGCATGAGATCGTGGTAGCGAGATGTGCGTTCTCGACAGAAGAGGTTCGAACGAAGCACGAGTATAGGATCATGAGCAGTCATGATGAGTTGGCCAAGAGGATGCCGGTGTGTAAATGTTTCAAGCATGCGCCCCTGAATCATCAGGATTCGAAGAGTCTTGGTTTATATCCTTATCGTTTCGCACTAAGGTTTGCCAGGAACTTCATGAAGATTTAAATGAGATCTCACGTGTTTCAAGACGGATATCCAAGAATGTATCACTTTTAGCTTGCAAGCACAGATTTTTCTTGATTCAACTAAGTTGAACCAATCTTCATCTTTTGCTTAGCCATGTCCGACACTCCGGATTCGGGTACCTCTGCAAGAGAAGCTCGGAACCTGGGTGAACCCTATGTTGCAGAAGATGATTTGTTTCATCTCTTAGCAGATGATGTGCGTACAGCAGATCAATCTCCAGACCATCCAGAGAGGTTGGACAATGTTGCGGGAGTGAGTTCAAGTGATCCACCTAGAGGTCCACAAAATGATACCGGATCCAGGGTTGATGCTCAAGGGATTGTTGCACCGCGTCGAAGTTCAGCAGGAACTGTGATGACCACCTTTAGCAGAAGGGAAGTGGTGCATTTCTCCACGTGCCACCATTTGGCACGAGCCGATGTTCGTCGAAGCCGATTTCTTGAGTACAAGACCTGCGAGTGTATCAATTTTTGATCTTGTGGAATCTGGACGCCAGTTGTATGGCGATTTTTCGAGAGAGGGTTCACAAGAGCGATTCTTGCACATTGGTCCATACTGCGCTTTTCGGCAATCGGACACCTTGGTGAAATATCGAGTGTGTGCGAATTGCTATGAGTCGAAGCCACGTGGGTGAGATTCGAAGCTGGAGAGAGAAATTTCGAAGTGTTTCAAGTTTTTGCTGAGATCAGTATTCCGGTCCTAGTTCCTTGATTGTTTTCGATCATTGGAATGCAGATTTAGATGTTCCGATGAGCTGTGGAAGAGAATTCTTTTTAAGCAACAGCCGTTCAGCATGGGGGGGTGTGAAGCTCCATCCGTGCTACATGACATCTTGCAGTGTACGCTTCTAGTGTATGCTGAAGACTTGTTGCTGGGAATCAGTACACCATAAGTACTCTGTCAGAGCCGAGCTCGACAGTTCTCCATATGTAAAGACTAGTGAACCAAAGGCCACGCTGTAGCATTTGAAGCTATTTTTGGCAGTGCTTTTGGAGAGGAATGGACGGATCATCCTGTATATCACAAGATCCACAGATCCATTTACTGACAGTCACCCGACACCAGAAACCAGAGGTCAATCGGGTATGCACTCGTTGCATTGGCTCAAGTGGAAAAAGAGCGTGAGCGAGTACAGTTGCTCTTCATCGACCCCAGGTCAACATTGAGAGAAATGCACAGAACTGTTTACACCTTGAGAAGAGGATGCTGACCTACTACGGGTTGGAAGTTTAAGCTCAGAAGTTTGACCCACATCCAAATCCACCTTCATGCTTCTATATGCTTCTATGTTAATTTACTTTAGTGGGAGCCGACACAAATATAAAATGGCCAACATCTCTCTCTGCTTCGGCTTGCGAAGGAATTGGACTGAAGGCGTGACCCTGTGCAAAAACGTAGGGCTGTCTTTACAATCAGGGGCCCATGCAGTAATACCCAGTCAAATGTGGCTGTCTTCTTGTCAATCAAGGGCTGGTGTTCTCAAAAACACTGAACTCATCTTGGCCCCGCCCCACAACAGTAACCGTTTATGATGAAGGATCTCCACTGAAAATAGTAAAAAACATTATCCAGTGTCTCTGTCTGTACAGATTATGTAGAACATCTCCTGCAGATCTCCTGCTTCCTCGCTTGTTTGAAAAGCGCTATATTGCACCAACATGAAACACAGATCGTTCATCTCAACAAAATCCGAGCAACATCTACCAAAATACATACAACTGAAAGGCACAGGACCCCCATTTCACCGGCCCAACCATTCTACCAGGCTGGTCTCGGGTCTCGCGTGCCCTTCAGGTTGTGTTCGCTGCTGGTCTTTTTGATGCCCCCAACGATCCTGTCATTAAAGAAATCTGTCCATGTTCTTCTTTGCATGATGTTGCCTCCATCCAAGGTGCTTGTTCGTGTATCCCACCACGTTCTCATTGTTGGGATCAGGGTTCTCAGTCAGGAACCGCTGGATCCTTGGAAAGCAAATCGGAGACCTGGAGGTCAATGACAAATGTACAGAGCTAGTAGATGCTATAAGACCACATAAACATATTCAAATAAATGCACTATGTTTATATTCACACATTAATAGTAATTTACAGGCCCTTAGTCCTTTTCTTTCATAATTATAGACCCTGAACATGGACCCAAATGATTGTTTACGAAGTTCTAGGTCCTTCTGTGCACAATCTTTTCGCTCCCGGGAGGGGCCGACCCCCCAGCTTTCCAAGCTCCTGTCCAAATCCAGCGAAAGAATTCCCTAAATAAATCATTTGCTCAACAACTCCTCCAGGTCTCAAGTCCTTGGAATCCTCCTTGTTGAACCGGAAGACCATGATGAAGCGATCCAAGTATCGGCAGTACAACCTGCAGAAGACACGAAAAAACCCGAGAGGCCCAGTATGAGGCTATCATCGAACAGGGGCCCTGACTGGTGGGTGAAGTACCTGAACCCTCTTTCGCGTTGACTCGCCGTGACTCGCGTGTTCAGGTCCAATGCAGGTCCATCTTTTGTCCCTCCGAGCCTGATGGGGTGTCTCAACTCTGTGTCGACATCCTTGGCGGCATGCAGGCGGCATGCAAGCATTACTTGCAGAAACTCCGTGTCTGTCCATTGTGAATCCAATCTCCTTCTTGCCATGCCTACTCTTATGTCCTTATGCTTACTCGCATTGAATGTATGGCATCAGGGAAAAACCTTTTGGGGCACGTGGTGAGTCGAAAACCACGAAGCGGCCACCACACTCGCGCACCGTAATAGAGAGATCCTACCAGGTCCTAGCATCCATTGGTTTTTGTTGACATTTCATATGGACCTGTGACATGAATATTGAATATGTGACGACATGTCATATGCATGTCTCTTTCATATTCCTTCCTCTTCCCATGCCATCATCAGACCCCCCCGCCTGGAAGGTCAGGAACTCATTCGGCAGCTGCGGCGGCCCGGCGATCTCCGAGGCGCGGGTCAGGCCGAGCATCAGCAGATCCAGCACCTGACGGTCACCGCCGAAACAGGGCCCAAAACGGAAAGACCCGGGGGTCACGGAGGAAGGGATGATATGAAATGGATAAAGCAGGCAGGGTTGGGGAGGATGGCCAAGTTGGTCAGAGCTCAGATTAGAGGCTATTAACCATTCGCAATATTTTACAATGTTTGTCTTACAACGGAACAACTCTTGAAGCGCATCAGTTGGGGGCTTCTTGTGACCTGAAATTGGGCGATCTCGCGCGGTTAAAGGGCCCACTTGGACAAGAAAACCAGGAAGCTGGTCGACATGCGCACGGAACTGGAGGAATTCGGGTGCAAATCCAATAAAACCAAAAACAGGTGTCAAAAATTGTCAAAATATTTATGCCTGCGATGATAAGAAGCATTCTCGATCAATAGCTTCCAGGTGGTGTGTTGCTGGAGTGTGGAGCTCCAAAACGTTCTTGTTATCATCAAGTGTTCGCGGAGAAGTCCATTATCATTGTGAGACACCCCTCAAAACGTCAAAAAGCTCATCCCGCTCGTGACGTGGCTCGGGAGCTTTCACAGGGAGGTATCACCTCCAACTGGTCGAACCTTTTGCGGATCCTAATTAGTTAACCTTCAGAAAGCTCCACTGAATCAATCAGCCTATGAATCTACCAGATCGACCTCAAAAGAAAACACATAGCACCGGACCCCTCCCAAGAGTCACAGGTCCAAACTCAGCCCAGCCGCCATCGTGTAGTACTGGAAGACAAAGGACCCGAACTGCAAACCCTTGATGAGGCCATAGGAGTTGGTGTGATTCATGTCCTGACGAGCCCGATCGATCAGTCGGACCAGACAAGACATCAGCAACTGAAGACCTGGGGAAATTTGGGGATGCAACCACAAAGGGAATTGCTGGGATCATGCAAGTCATACCGAGTCACACCAACTCATACTGTCAAACCGTCAAACTGATCTTCTATACATGAAGAGTAGGAGAGAAGTGTCCCTCCAACAGTGTCCCCCTCAAAAGTTGACTTCGTGGGGCCATTTGCCACTTAGAAGGTCACTTTGGTCTTTCAACTTGCGAGAATCTCTCTCTCGAACAAGACATGTGGTCACATGTCTTTTTGTGTTCCAGCCTTGTAGTTGATGACAATGTTGTTCTTTGCCGTCATGTAGTCTGCGATATTGTGATCCACGATCAGTCGCAAGAGTCGATTGAGCAAGGTCAGGTCCACTTTCTGCGAGACGTTTTCCAACTTGCTCTCGAGCACCACGACGCATTGGCCGTCGGAGGTATCCTTGGCACAAAGGCAGCACTTGAAAAGGGAGTTCAAAGTGAATATGTTGAAAGAAGTATAGAACATCATGTATGTACTAAACATATATATATATATACTTATTAAATAACTTGGGTCTATCCTGATATATCAGTAGCAGTGGATGATGATGATTACTAAAAGGTCTTGTTCAAAAATAGTGTCTGCTGACTGTTACAGGTAGGACAAACCCAATAAACAACACTAAATAGCTAATTACATGATAATAAATTACTACCTATTGCTAACAATATACGATATAAGAAGCTACAACTAAGGATTGGTCGTCCTTCCAGGCATCCGTCATCCGGAACCGTCATCCTTCCAAGGCTCCCAGACATCCGTCAAGTTGTTCACACCCTGGCACCACTTGTAGACCAACAAGGGCGCCGGCTCCGTGTCTGCAGGCTTCACCCAGTTGGGGAACAAATGCCGATGGTCGCCCTCATACCTGGTGAAGACAGGGCGACCTTCCATTTGACTGGGATTCTATCGGCAGCATATATGGTAGGAGGTTGAAGTGCGCAAAGAAGTCAAGGAAATAGATGGACAAACTTGCAGGGGTGAGGGGAAAAGAAAAGGGAATTGAAGCTCCAGCAGATTAATTTACTGACATTTACTGATCGAATCTATATCATCTATCGCAAACTCCCCACAATTCCCACTGAAGGGAATCAGAAATAGCAACTCTCCTGAAGCCAAAGGCACCACAAATACTGATCCAAGTAGGCATCTGTGATCTTCTCCAGTGGCTCAATCTCATAGCAGGGCACTAGGTGCGAATACATGTCCTCGCGTCAGCACACCCCGACCCGCCCACACGAAGTGGAAGTGCGCCCATAGCTGCTATAGCTGTTTGTAATTGATTGCACAGGAACATCCTCTTCATAAAGTCCCTTCTCCACTTCCACTGATTAGTCAGTCATGGGGTCACTCTTCCCGCCTCTTCCCGTTAGCCTCACCGAACATTCGATCCGCTTCGGTCGACTCGATCCGTCCTGGAATTCGATCGTGACCTCCTTGAAGGCTCGTTGGGTCAGCAAGTGCCGCTTGATGCGACTCAGCGCTTCCTCGGTTTGGAGAGACGTTGGACTCTCCGCTGCCCGACACGAAGTGGTCGACATTTTTTTCAGGTCAGGAAGAGTCAGAGTCCAGCAGTAGTCTTTGATGTGTCTACAGCTTTTTGTTGCACAGAGGCGGCGCGCCACTGGAGCGCAGCATCGGCTTGGACCTCCAAGCCGATTCCACGTGGCACATCCCATCGGGCGGTGCCACTGAAGGAGACTTGTCCGCCCAGCTCAGCTGGGGTAGACCCTTTCCCCAAAACAGCTCAGATGAGCTTAGTCAGCCCCCTTTCCTCCAAACGGTCTTTTCGCGGAAGGCCAGGGACATCCACGGCCACGGACCACCATCTTCTCAGTGATGGATGCCGTTTCAGGTCACTTCTCCCCCAAAAACAGCATCCTTCAAAGTGGTCGGCTGAAAGAACCTGGAAGTGCCGACCTGGGAGTGCTCGGTTTCCGGCTGAGGGTCGTGAGGGTTATCGTAGGCCTGCTCCACCAGTCCCAACTCTTCTCGCTGCTGCTGGTTCAAGCGGGTCTGCACCGTGTACCTCACATCCAGTGTGGCCAGGAAGGGCTAACGTGAGTCGGTTCCTGCACCAATCAAGCAAAAAAAGTTATATAAACAAGTGGTCATTCCTGGCATTCCTCACAAAATCAAATTCCACGGCCCAGGGATTGTGGTTGACACACCAACATGAACCAGACGGACGAATGCTGTGAACGCCTCCAACAAGCGTGCGCCGAGGCTCTAGGCCACCCACCCGACCCGACCCCGCCCAGCAAGCTTCTGCGTCGCCAAGCTGCTGCTCCTTCAAACGCTCGAGCGCCAGAATCAGAAGCTTGGTGTCATGCTTGTAGTTCCTTGTCAGAAACAAACCGGTGCCGGTGTTTCACCAACAGCATCAGTGGGTCAGTGGGTGTTTCCGGATGACAAAACGGGGACCAATTCATGGGTCCCCGTAACCTACTGGAGGAGATGAGGCAGCGACCGGGGTTGCTCACTTGAGAGGCCTGAGCATGAAAAGCATTGCACGAGGCGGAAGCATAGAGCTGCTGCCCCCCGATCTGCCGCCTTCTGTGCTTCCCATGCCAAGTGCCAACCAGGGACTGGGACCGAGTGCAGACGAGGTTCAGCGGAGGGAATGGGATTGGTGTGAACTTTCGGCTCTCCAGCCAGTGCACCTTGGGAAGAAGTCGTGAAAATGCAACTTGCTGATCACTTGAACTATAGACTCTTTCTATCGAAGTGAAGACTGGGGGACTTTGTAAACTGCAAGGTGTAACAGCATGTCTCCATAGGGCCATAGGGAGCATAAAGTGCCTCGAGGCCACTACCAACCCAAGCCGGATTCTCTCAATGCAGGGATGTCCTTCCGAACAACTCGCATAGTGGCATGATGTAGCACGTCAAGCGGGCAAGTGAAAATCCAAAAACATGCACGGAATGGTCTAGCCGCTGATGTTCACAAATCATGCTTTCGTAGGTTCTTAATGGTTCGTTTACAGGTAGGTTCAGTTTTTACATGCGTTAACCATTTTGATCATTTTTGAGCCATCAATTGCAAGTCCCCCCAACAAACAGGACGTGAGACAAGTGGACAAAGGATCTGGAACAGCATAGAGGGAGAGATTCAGAAATCCTGAATCCTCTTGAGCCTGTCGACTAGATGAGAGCCGAAGAATCAACTCCATCAAGCCCATCCGAAAGAGGCAGTACATCCGTCGAAGCCACTACCCCGTCACTACCCCCTTCCCCCTTCCAAGTGGTTCAGTTGATCCTCACTGAAGCATCCCTTCCGAAAACAGCATCCGGGCTCAAACCGGCCTCAACTTCAGCCTTCCAAGCCAAGTGTTCTGAGAACATGTTCGGCCCAAAGAAGGACGCTCCTTCTTCCAACCTAATGGCGACGGCCTCCAACCTAAGAGCGTCCTTCTTTCAATTTGGATCAATTTGGAAGGTACCTGGATCCTCGGCTCAACTCATCAAACTCAAGGCCCTTCATCCCAAGCAGCCGTGGTGGTGTAAATGGCCACGGCCTCTTCGCCACTCACCTGGTCGACCGGACGGGAACGTGGCTCACCATTGGGCCTTTTCACCACCTCACCATGCGACAGTCTTTCATTTCTACACAAGAATGCCCCCAACACCCAAAAGTTTCCTGGACATGGAACCAACAGAATTCCATTGCATTTATCCCAACTGGCCACTGATTGAACTGGACGGGAAAAAATGAGCCAAACACAACTTCTCTAACATGGCATCGGCATTTGTGCCACTATCAGGACCACTGCTCCGCAAACAACTGCCGCAACTGCCGAGCGATTTCCCTTGCTTGCGTTCGAGAGACGTACGGACCATCCTTCAAGTAATTGTGCTGCCTCTCCTGCTCGGCCTGACCGCTGAGAACGACCAATTCCTGGCCTCTCCAATTAGCCAACAGCCAACAGCGTCGCCAACTATTGGAGTCATCCACCTTCCACCTAATAGGTGCCATTCTTGGCACCTGTTCTCTAGTACGGAATCCTGTTTCTGCATGCCGTGCTTCTTAGATCATGCTTAGCTATACGTCCATTAACTTGGTTTTGTATACGATCCTTTTGCATCCTTTTTCTGCCGATTCGCTGCCGCCGACCCCCGCGAATGGTCAAGGGCCCAAATCCATGATCATGTGTCATGAGCAAAAAAAATCATCAACACATGAGAAATGGTGCCATGAGCAAACCAGCAAAGCCATTTCTCGGAGCCGTGTCCAAGACCGACCGACCTTCCGTGACTCTCCTTGAAGGGATTGGGGCTCTCCTTTGGCGACACAATCCAACGGTGTATGCTGTGTACAGTAGGTGATGTCAAATGTCCATTAAAGTGATGTGAAGTGACCATTTGGGAGTTTTCATGTGGCTCACTCCACTTCCAACATCAAATCAGCTATATATATATATATATCACCCATATCAAATCCTGCAGCTCAATGGGCCGACGAGCACCCCTTCGACCCTGTCATCCCGGGAGTCGTTGCCTTCAGCCAGAGCCGCGTGAGACGTCCCAGGTTCTTCTTGCACGTGGTCCTCGGCGTCCGCAGATCCTCTCAGTGCCCAAAAGATCCATGGGACTGCCGTGTACATGCAAAAGCTTAAGATACAGCAATCTCCTGAAAGATACTTATATAAGATACTTAAGTAAGTTCACTATATGATAAGTGGACTTCAATCAGGGCAGAATTAGATCGCCAACTTGTCAGTGAAATTGATCTCCTTTTCGATCCCCAACCACCCTTTCAGCAGCCGCCCGAAACACCAAAGCAGCCAGGGCTCTTGTCCACGGTGGCACCGCGGCGGATACGCTCTCGGTTGTAGTACGTGGCGTTGGTCCACCAATCTGCCTGGTTCGATTCTTCTGGTAAACTGAAACCAAAGTTTCTCCTGTTGCCTGACATGAAAAATACCGGGTGGATGACTGGAAACTTCATTTTACTAGTAAATTTTGTGTTTACCACTTCTGTACAGTACACACGCAAGAAGTGACTGTCGACTGTCTGGGTTGCACGACACTATGAGGTAATGGAATTCCATTGGACACCAAAAACTGAAAGGTCCAGAATAGTTTTTGAATACCAAAAACCTGACTCTTCGCATCTCTTCACCATCAAGAGTCAAGAGGTTTGGTTTGATTGGAACATCCAAGCTTGCTCGATACAAATTGTTAGGCTGTGTTGTGATTCGTCCAAGTCCTCCGAGTGTCGGGGAGGAGTGGGAATTGTCGAATCCGAGGGAAGGTGATCAGCCGATAGTTCCGCTTGAGTTAAGTGTTGTAGTAGGGGCAACCAGGCTTGTAGCTGGACACATGAATCTCTAAGTCAGCGTAGCTTTTCCGGCTGGTGTTTTTGAATTATAGTTTAATGATTGGATCTGGCTTCCTCTGTGGTCAGTGTTCACCAACAACCAAAAAGGTACAAGTCATGTGTTCATCATATCTCCCGATTAAGAGGGAAGTAGGATTGTCACCCAGCTGATGCCCCAAAGAAATCCGCTGCAACCATGGCGTAGTACCAGCTGCCTTGGACTTCACGTAGCGCAAAATCATGTTCTCGATTGGCGCTGGCAAGCCAGGGACCTCGCAGTTGGAGAATCGTGCCAGAAACCGCCCAGTCATCTTTGGCTGGACATGGCAGGATGAAGAACTAGATGTCTCAGATCATGTCCAAGAATAATCTGTCGTTATGATTTCTTGTTTTCTCTAAAATTCTAGCAGGGCTTACTGGACTTCATGCATTTGGTCCCACTTGCCAGACTTCAGCAGTTCTTGAACTTCTTATGCGAATTCGATGTTTACATCACGACCATCAAAAAGGTTGCAGTGCTCGGTCCCTGGTTGCAGTGCTCGGGTCCCGAACACACCCACATCAATCCATCCATGGGGTTCCATCCCCAGGCGCCTTCCAAGGGATGTTGGCCTTCCAACATCGCCAGGCCTCCGACAAGTGCTGCAGGATCGTCCTGGCCTGGAGGGCGTGATGATCCGGATGTGCGAGCCGAGGAGAGTTTGGAGCGTGAGCAACACTCTTTGGTTGAGCTTGAACTACGAGCGTTGATTTCAGATACCCTTCAGAATGAAAGTATCTCTCGATATCTCTCGATCTCTTAGAGCATCGTCCATCTACAGAAGATGTCTCTATTGGGTCTATTGGGGAAGACCGGCAAATAATGGATACTGCAGAAACAGCATGAACCATCACCAGTACAGCAACCCACAACACAATGACATGCTGTAGCTTCTCAGGACACATGTTGCCCTGCGCCCTGCGGGATGGCAATGGTTGTTCAGAGTCTGTTAGAGTCCACGCATGAATCGCTCTTCAAACATCCTACAGTATATACACAGAAAATCCGATTTTCCATGTCCATTGGATTCACGGGTTCACCGGTGTTTCCATGTCCACCCAACCAGCACATCAGCCACCCAAACCCCTCAATGCCTTGTTGGCACGGACGCCTTCAGGCATCATATCAATGATATCATGCCTCGGGAAAAGGGATCTGCTGGTGTTGACTGAAGATTCCAGAAGGTCTTGCGTGAACATTCGTAGTATTGCCATCTCTACACTGACACATCTAATTACATTGCAACGCACAAAGCTACAGTTGAAGTTTTAGTTCATTCCAATGTCCATTCATTAGGAGGATGATCAAATTAGTTAGATGCTGAAAGAAACAAGGTTCCTTCTCATGCAGGAAAAGAAGCTTGATCCAAGGCGCATCACTGCAGCTCGCAGCTCCAAGTCGAAGTGACTCTCTACGCGCTGCTTGGTGATGGTCTTGGCCACACCTGCACGGCAACAAGCACCACTTGATTCATCAAATGCATGCAGTGGAAGCGAGGGTAGTGATGGTCTTGGAATGCTTGATTCAAAATGTTGGAGACTACAGTTACAGGCAAAAGAAGAAAGAACTGGCATCATTGATGTGGCATTCGCAAGTAAAGACAATTCGACGCTCGTTTGGAGAGTCGCTTTTCAGTTATAACTAAGTCTTCCCTGACGTTTCTTGGAATATCTTGGAATTCATCTAACGAGCCACCACTCCACACATTCAGGAGTAAATCCGAGGCCGCGCCTTTGCTGACACGACCTTCGAACTGCCTGGCCAACAGGTTGCCCAGCCATCGCTCCAGCAGGGGCACCACACCGCGCAGGAAGAAGAGCCACACACGCCATCCTGCGGAGGCGTTCAAAGGCTTGGACTCGGTTCTGATCGGACTCGGACTTGGAAGCATAAATGGAAAGTGTGGACTGAAGAAACCGAAAACTCACACGAACCCATCACGAACCTCCGACTCGAAAACGTGTATCCAAAACGGTGCATGCTCCGTTACAAACCAAACGGTCTGGAGGCCAATCCATGTGATAGTGCTGTCAGCCGTAGGGCTCGAGCTACCTGAAACGGCTGGTCCCACGAAGTGCTCGGGAGGTGGGACCGGAGCCCACGGTCCTGGCGCCCAGAAGCCGCAGCCCGGGCCCTTGCCCACCGGACCGGTGTTGAAGCCTTGGTGGTCCGGTGTCCGGACCGGTGCCCGTCGCGGAAGTCCAGAAGGATTTGGGCGTGTTCCACGTCAAGAACATTGGAGGGTACCTCCAAAACAATGTACGTTTGGGCTTGAAGTGATGAAAGCTATCTAGCCGGAAAGTTCTTCACAGTTTATTGTATATTACATATGTAACATATGTATATAATGTTATTTCATAATTATAAATATATACAAGGTGTGTGGTCTTACTGTGTTTTCAAAAACCTGCAGGCCAAGCATTATAGAATGAATTTGTTGGTTCTACACCACCAAAAGAAACCTCCTCCCAGAGACAGCCTTGTGTACAGAAACTACTCCAAGAAAGTGCGATTAATTTGTGTGCCAACCCTCATGATGAGGGAACCCAAAATCTCTTGCTTCCTACAACATCTAATATTTTGGGGTCACAGTCACGATATAAACCCTCCACCTGTCAAGTGTTCAATTGCCCAGCAACGGTAGTAGATGAGATGCTTCAAGTCCTTGCACATGCGCACCTGTCGCATCAAGCGGTACTTGTAGCGGTACATACCCGTCAACTGTCCCACGTGGGCGAAGATGTACTGCAGACCTCAGTGCACGGTCAGCGCCGCGCCGGTCAGAGCGATCCGATTGGGTAGACTTAGTGCATCGTACGGGACAAATGTTGGTTGACTCGGTATCAAAGCCAACTCTGATACCTTGAAGTGAGGCTTGAAGGTTTGTAGTGTCGTGTGTCTGAAAATCCAAGTCAAACTCCCAAGCCAAGTGAAAACCACACAAACCTCCTTCGCAACTACTCTTGCCCAAAAACACCGCCGCAACTAACATCCAACCATATCCATCCGGTGAAAAACGTCCTTTTGGGGCCCGTCCCCTTTTCGCCCCGCGGCCATCGGCCAGCTGGAAGGCATCGACGTTGCCGAGACGGAACTGCACGTGGGAATCCACCACCAACTTGGTCAAGCGCATGATCTCACGACACAAGTGGAAGGCGTTGCCGAAGCGCGACTTCTTCCGCTCCTGTCGTCCGTTTCACCCAGGACGTGCGGACGTGCGGACGGGTAGACAGGTTTCTCCGTCTACTCATCAAGAGCCGTTACCAATAAGTCGACATATATAAGTTCTTAATGAATACAGTAATAAGTTGTGTCACCAATAGTCACCAGACAATAAGTTCTATTCATTGTCTAATCAATTATATAGACATAAGTTCTTGCGGACATGCTCAGCGATCACTCTTTGACACTTTTGCGGCATTCACTGATACCGTACCTGCGATTCAACAACGTTCACGGATGGTCCGTTACCCCTCAAATCATCCATAGATAGGGTATAAGTCGTGTTAGTACGAGTATAATATATCATAACTTGCTTTTGAGATCTCATAGTTTCCATCTCATGAGATGTGATTGAGCTTCACCAATCAAGTTCTCGCTCCTTGGTGGTCAAGGTCTTCACTGGCTTCAGGTTGAAGTTGTAATCCAAGTGCAAGAAGTTCCTGAGAGCCGAAATGATAAACTGATCGAAGAGGAGTCTGAGCAGAGCAGAGCATGCAATCATCAACTGATCTTTTGGCCCCTTTGGCAGTTCCTGATCAACTCAGGCCCAAGGTTCAAGTTCTTTCGCGCAATGAGCAAGTTCAACATGTTGTAGCCCTGACGACACACCTGCAGAGTGTGTCGGCAGTGCACAAAAGAGCTACCTACAGTAACATTTGATAACATTTGCAGGAAACAACACAACAAAGGCTATTGGACGTCGGGACGTCCCTGTGTTGTTTCCTTTAGCTCGCCTGCAAACCAATCTCCACCCAGTCCAGCTCGGTGCGTTGGAAGAACTTCGTGGTGGCGAAGATGTTCATCAAGTTGCGCTTGTTCAAGGTTTTGGGCGGGCGATGATGCAGCTGGTTCCTCGAGGCATTCAAGGAAGGAAGGAAGGAAGGAAGGCAGGAAGGCAGGAAGGCAGGAAGGCAGGAAGGAAGGAAGGAACACGGAGAAGAGGTATCAGATTGGAAGTTTGAGGGCGGTTATTCTCAAAGTATTCTCAAAAGAACACTTCACTCCAAAGCCTTTGAAGAATCCAATTATCCGGATTCCAGAGTGCTTTCAGTGTTTTTAAGCGGCCAAAATAGAAGGAAATGCCAAGGTCTGCACTTCTCCCCAAGAGTAGCCCTCCAACCCACCGTCTGAAGCCATGGGAAACGCGGCATGAAAAATGCTCTGCATCTCTCCGCCTCTCCGCCTACACGTCGGGTTGGTCAGCATGGTCCATCCGGCTGTGGCTTTTAATAGGGAGACCTTCCAAACAATGGGTTCTGGTCGATGCTCCTTTATACAGGGGGTCGAACTGGGAGATCTCCCTATTTTAAATAATAACAGCGTAGCCGTTGGCCCGAATCGTTCCAGTCGTGCGGCTGAGGCGGCTGAAATTCGGGAGACCGTCCTTTAGGTAGTTGAGCCATGCAGGTGGACCGCCTGGCCACGCCGGCCGCGCCAGGTGTTTTTGAGCTCCTCAGGTCTCTGGATCCTGGAGCCGTGCTGGTCAAGTGCCTTGCTTCTGAGGTACGCGCGGTACTCCTCAGCGATGCTGCGCTTCCACTTAGGTTCACCATGTACCATCCACGATTGATCTCAATGGATCCGCTGACACTGGCGGTTGACTCTTCGGACATCTTTGAAGCTGTTCATACCACTGAGGCTTTCTCTCGAAATGTCTTGGAGCTTTGTGCCGGAACTGGAGCTATGGGGTTTGCTACCGGTTTCATGGGCACCACCACAGTTAGCTCCTTGGATTCGAATTGGTTGGCCTCGCAACATCTTCGACAGTGTTCAGCAAAACCGGTTTTCGAAGCAGATCTTGGGGATTTAGATAGTGTAGAAAAGCTGCATTTGGAGCTTCGACGTACCAATCAGAGCTTTACTGCACTAGCAGGATTTCCCTGCCAGCCCTTCAGCCTTCAGGGACATCGTTTGCACTTTCAGGATTGCAGGGCACAGACCTTTCACAAATTGATGGATTGCTTATTCCTCTTACAGCCACAGGCTGTTCTACTGGAATGCGTTCCGGCCGTTCAGGAAGATGACCTTCTCCAGCAGGAGCTCTCTCATTTGGCCTCGAAGATGGGTTGGCAGATCGATCAAACCATCCTGCACCTTCACCATCAATGGCCAATGAAGCGATCGCGATGGTACTGTCTCCTTCGACCAGTTGAATGGAGTGGCTTCCCATTGTGCCCTTGGCCTGAAATTATGCCTCCCCCCAAGGTCTCGGAGGTTCTTCCTTTTTTGGGGAGTTGGGATGAAATGGTGATCAGTAATCTTCAGTTGCGGGTTGACGAACTCCGATACTACATGGACAAGAGCTACGGCACAGACAAGCGACTGCTGGAAGGGCACGATCAATGCCCGGTAGTGCTTCACGCCTATGGCAGCCAATTTGACCCTTGTCCTTGTGGATGCCGCTCGGCTGCGTTTAATCAGACTACGCTCCAGCAGAAGGGACTTCGTGCCTTCTTTGTGGTGGATGCTGACACCAATGTTCCGCGGCTACTTCATCCGACTGAGTTGGGGGCCCTTATGAGCATGCCACCACAGTTTCAAATTCATGCCACAGGACGGGCCGCACTATGTTTGTTGGGCAATGCTGCAGCACCTTTGCAAGTGCTTTGGACCTTTGCCTCGCTCCTTGCAGGTGCAGGACAGCATATAGATAAATTGGCCTTCATCCACCCACTTGAGGTCACTGAAAAGTATGGCAACTTTGTCAAGGATTCCTACCGGCTCTTGATTCCCTCCCCTATGTCTTGCCCGCCAACGCGTCTGGACATCAAGGCTGAAGATGGCTCCACGCTTTCCATCTTTGCGGCCACGGCCACGACCATTGGTAGTTTTTTGCAGGCAGAGCGGATCACATTAGACTGGGGGTATACTCAAATTGTACGAGCTGGTGATTTTCTCCTCTCTTCGCAAGACGATTTGCATCACCTTGCTTCTCAAGCTGACCTTCAATTGGAGAGACAACCAAAGAGACGGCGCACAGCGTCACCTCAGGGATTGTTGATGATTGGTCTTCAATGTGGAAGCTCAACAGATGCTCAGTTCTTCATCTCCTGCGTACCAGCCGGTACTTTCCTGTTTGAATGCATGAGAGAGCATGGCTTCAACTATGAGAGATTCGTGGTTGATGACGATGGTCGACTCTTTGGTGGAGACACCCGCCTTTGGACCTCAGGGCGCTTTACTATCCTTGAGGAGAATAGCTTTCCGTCAATCTTGATGGATCCGGCAGGCATGCAGAGTTCTCATGACGTTCCTGGTCACTCAGGTCCGGGAGGAGCAACTTGCGGCTTGGGCTCGCACATCATTGATCAGGTCCTGCATGACTGGATTCAGCAATGTTATGGCAGTTCACCACAACCATGGTGCCTCAAAGCCCTTTGGATGGACTCAGACTTCCAAGTGACAGGCCTTCCTCAGCAAGTTGAGGACAACGTCGGAGAGGTTCTGGCACCGCTTGCTCATCGGCACCATTGGGCCTTGCTCTATGGCAGACAGTCCCTCCGGATGGGAATGGTTCTATCTGGATGGCATCGCGGGCTACATGACGGCGGCTATGACCCATCTTGCTCAGAAATTGGCTTCTCTCCTGCAGACGGAGTATTCAGGCCTCAAACATCGTCGGTTGATCCATCAGGATGATAACCATTCATGTGGCACAATTCTTTTGGCTCATGCCGCCTCCATCTTGGGCCTGACAGGCACATTCGATGATGCCCAGATCCAGCAGCTGCATGAATGGCTTCTTGGACATTTTCCCTTTAGTGCACATTCCCCGGGTGGACCTGAAGCTTCTGGTCTCCAAGGTGAATTGGCTCAGATCCTTATTAGCAAAGGTGTCCCCGCCAACAGTGCTTTTGAACGTGCAGGAGACGCCATCACAGCGTTGGGCTCTGACAAGCTCGCAGCAGCCATGACGGCCAAGAATCCATGGCAGGCTCTGAAAGGGGTCGCCATGCAAGGCAAAAAGCAATTCAAGTTTGTCCTTGCTTGGGAGCTTCAGGCCCACAGCGAAAAGAGAGCAAAGGAAAAGCATGGTGCCAACCTCCCACGAGAACGCAAGAAGGAAAAGCATGCCATTGAGATTCCTGCAGTTCCTGATCCTAGCCAATTGCAGCTTCATCTAAATCACTTCCGTGATGCTGATGGTAATTCAATCCCTCAGATTGCCTTCGCTGATGTCTACAATGATGCCAGAGGGATTGCGCTATGTACCAAAGCTGAAGCCATGCCATTCATCCAACAAGCCAAATCCATTTCAGCGCTGGCTCTTGCTTTGCTCATAGTTGAGGAAGTTCCAACAGCAGAACGAGGGGTGGCCAAGGTTGGTGAACTTCGATTCCCCGCCACTTACACGGCAACAGATGACCCTGTGCTCATCCGTGGAGCTCTACTACAGTTGGGCGACGTCTCGGTTGTTCGGGCAGGGCCTCCAGACCCTATGGCATCTTCATCTTTGGCCCCCACGATGGTCATCAAGTTGGCCATCTTTCGCGATGAATTGGCATTGGATTGGTCTGATTTTGTCAAATCACCAGTCAAGCATCTATTGACCATGGTGCCGGCTTTGCGGCTGTGTCGAGCTTCTCCTTGTCCAGATGGCGCTCGCTGTGGATTTTATCACCCACCTGTCGATGAAACACCTGATCAAGTACTACAAGAAGTGTGGTCACGCAGGTTCACTCTTCTGGCAGGCTCCACTTGTGAGGCAGCTCAAGCAGATTTGTTCACGGCCTTCCTTCGTATCCTTGCAGATGCGGCAACAGCCGTGCTTCGGGTCAATCAGACTGGCATCTACTTTGAACCAAGGGATGAGGCCACACGCTCAGCACATCCTGGTTATGCAGTTGTCTGGATTCCGCAAGGAGATGCTGATCGCGCTCTTCATTTACTGAGAACCACACCGGAAGCCATGGCACTGGTGAGACTCAAATCTCGCTATGGACTGCGTGTTCAAGCCAAGCATGAGCAGACTGTTCATGAAGCCCTGCGACCCAATGCTGAGTTTGTTCAGGTGCGGATCACTCAGATCTATCGGCTGCACCCTTTGCCACATGGACTACAACGAGCAACTCTTGCCAAATTCCTGAAAGAGATCAAATGGTGTGCACGGCCACTACAGCCCTCAAGGGGTAGCTCGGAAGGTGCTAGCTGGAATGTTGGGGCCTCATCGGCACCGCCAACACCTTCAGTTCATGCCTTTGGACGGGACATCCTCATCACGCTTGTCAAGGAGCACAACTCTGGCCCGGCGTCCACTTGTTTGCTTGCAGCCTCTCGACGTACCCAGCGGCACATTCAAGCGCATGCCACTGGGGCCGTCAAGCCAGACACTGACCCCTGGCTAGCCACAGATCCTTGGAGTGCATATCATGCTAAAATTGCTCTTCCAGCAACTAAGCCGGACACAAAGCACATTGATGAAGTGGCCCAGAAACTGCAAGATTCAGTCCGCACGGAGGTCCTCAAGGAAATCCAGAACATGCCAGCCGCATCTGGTTCTACCTCTTCACCGATTGTAGACCAGCGATTCTCCAAGCTCGAGGCTGGTCTTCAAGAAGTCCGTGCACAAGGTGATCAGTTCCAAAAATGGTTCACTCAGGCCAATCAGCGAATGACCCAACAGGAGCAGGCTTCCAATGCTCTCAAGAGTGCAATTGACAGCCAACAAAAGGAGCTGGGGGTCCTTAGACAAGATGTTCAACAGACTGGCATTCAGGTTGGGACTCAGCTTGCTTCTCTTCGAAATGATTTGGGCTCACATCTCGATGACAAGATTGACTCGGCAATGCAGCGCTTTGAAGCTCTTTTGTCAAAGAAGCAGCGCACTGAGGATTGACTACGGCCCCCTGGGC